CACACGATAACTCGAGTAAAAATTGAGATATCTTAACGAAACTTGGTACGTGAACTTCTTTTGGGCGTGGGACGGATGGTATTGAAAATGGGCGAAATCGGATAATAACCACGCCTACCTCCCATATAACGGTAATTTTAAGAAATACGAAAACTGCGATATTTTAGTAACTACTGAAGATAATCCACTCAAAACTGATACTTACAATGAGTTTCAGACGAAAAACATGAATATTAAAAATTTTTGGAAAATGGGCGTAGCCACGCCCACTTATGGTTACATGTGTATATCTTGGTAACCGCTGCACCAATTTCTTCCAAACTTGGCACAGTTGTTGGCCTTAGTACAGCATACTAAATGGCTGAAAATTTTAAAAATCGGACAATAACCACGCCTACCTCCCATATAACGGTAATTTTAAGAAATACGAAAACTGCGATATTTTAGTAACTACTGAGGATAATTCACTAAAAATTGATATTTGCAATGAGTTTTAGACGAAAAATAAGAATATTACAATATTTTGGCAAATGGGCGTAGCCACGCCCACTTATGGTTACATGTGTATATCTTGGTAACCGCTACATCAATTTCTTCCAAACTTGGCACAGTTATTGGTCCTGGTACAGCATACCAACTTGCCGAAAATTTCTAAAATCGGACAATAACCACGCCCACATCCCATATAACGGTAATTTCGAGAAATACAAAATCGGCGATAAATCAGTAAATATTGAAGCTAATTTATTCAAATTTGATGATTGCAACAATTCTTTACCAAGAAATACGTTTATGACAAAATATGATCACATATATGTATATCGGTAACCGTTCTACCAATTTGTACCAAACTCGGTGTGGTTATTGTGCTTGCCACTTAAAAGCAAAACGTTGAAAATTATTGAAATCGGACTAAAATTACGGCCGCTTTTTATATAACGGTAAATTTCAGAAATGCTTGAAACTGCAATATTTCGCACCCCGGCTTATCATGTAGCGGTAGCTTTCGGAAAGGTGGAAAACATATATTTAATACTTGCGCCGGGTATTTAATGTTCGGCTCCGCCCGAACTTAGACTTTCTTACTTGTTTTTCTTCGTTATTGGGTCAAGCAGTTAATGGAAAATCGAATTTGTGAGTTAATGGAGGTTTTTTTATTTACAATAAGTCACAAATTATCAACAATTTCCAAATAAAAATATTTAACGAAATTCGTTGGTCTATATTTTCATTAACACTCTTTTCTGTAAGTGCAATATTTAAGAATGCATACCCATTTCATTGCAGAAGGTTTGGCTTGAACGCTTTTTAACCCAAGTTTCGGTTTTTTGTTAACATAAAAACTACATATCGACACCTAAGTGAAAGATCGATCTATATCGGCAGCCAGTTCAAAAACTCCCTATCTCAAAAAACTGTTCAAGAACACCATATTTCAGAAGTTTGCTGAAGAACGCCAGGACCAGGGTATTTATTGTTTAATTTTTGTATTTTCAATACACTGCTGCCCTGCATAAAGGGAAACCCGCGTGCCGAATTTTCTTCAGATATCTAAACTTTTGCTAGAGTTATCGTGTACACAAAAAAACGGACAGACAGACAGACGGACATGGACTAATCAACTTTTATTTTCATTCTAGGCATTTTCGGTATATACATACATATGTACATAAATGTAGTATATATCTATCTCAATTTTGGTTGTTCCAAATATCCGTTACGTGAAAAAAGTTATGGTACCCTCCTGCAGAAGTGCGTAGTAAATATGTTTAAAAAGCAAACTTTTTAATTAATAATTAGTTAAAAAAAAATTTCAATGTAATGGAACTCCTCAACCCCTTTTTAATGAAAACAAGAACCCTTATGAAGTTTCGTTTTGAAAGTTGTCAAATTTAAAAACTCAAGAAAAAAATTAATAGAAAAAAAAATTGTGATAAATTACATTTTATATTCTGCGAAAAAATGTCTAAAATCAATGAAGACCTATGCTGCGAAGGCAGCGAAGTATCAAAAGAAGATTTTGACGACCTTTTTGAAGTGATCAGTGAGTATGTTTTCGAAGACGAAGACCCAACACCTCAGTCATCCAGTGAATATGTACTCGAAGACGAAGGCCCAACACCACAGCCAACGAGAGAATATCTAGATGTGGAAGATTCACATTCATATAACACATCTGTTTTTTACGACAGACGCGGGGAAGACGATTTAGCTGAGGAACCATGTGCGCAGGAAACATTATTTGGAAAATATTTCGAAATTTTGGAGAAGGTAGATATCAAATGCAATGACCGCTTTTTTTATTAAAATAGAGCACTAATGCAGTGAGCACTTTTAACAATACTTGCTCATGTGTGCTGGCCAAGTTTGTGGTTGCTTTCACATACAACATTTTTTCAGGCAAGGAGAGCCGACCTTTCGCCAATAGAGAAATAGTGAATCAAAAACGACAATAGAAACCCCATCTCATTTTTTAATTAGTAATTCGGGTGTGTCCCGCAAATATTCGATCTCCGAATTTTAGAGGTTTTGAAACTAAGACGGACGCTATATCCGGCTATGCGACTTTGATGAAGCTCAATATTGCCTCCCTCTCCATATGAAGGCTAAAAAAGGGGCAACGCACAAACTATATTGCATTTCCTTTATTATTTCCATCTACATACATATGTATGTAGATTAGACTGTTTAAAAAAAAGTTTTCGGATTTCCGATGAGCCGTGAGATTTCATATAGTTGATACAAAAGAAGGCGGCTGCTCCAAGAAGAACTTGAAAAATTTACAGGTCGCTACCTGCGCTTGAAACTTTAATTTTTAACGAATTTCGAAATTTATCGATAACTATGGTCATTATTTTTGCAGAAAAATTATATATACATATATAATTAAATATGTAGTTGGTTTTTCTTAAAAAATTACTGGGGCGTAAATATGAAATACGACTAGGAACGAATACTACTCATACGCCATATATGAACTATTACACAATGCAACACTAATTTTGGTGCGGCAAATGTTAAAGCTGTCCGTAAGTATAAAGTTTCCATCAGCTCCAGATTTTGAGACAAAGGAGGTCAAGGTGTCAAAAAATTGAGTTTTTTGCAATATTTGATAAGTTCTAGCTTAAAGTAAAGCTAGAACTCTCGACTACTTTGCCTGAAAATACCATCCCTGCACCTTGACCTTATGGCCACTTTTAGTCATTTATTGAATAATAAAAAAGTACTGGAAAATTGTGCTGTTGAATTTTAGCTACAGTCGAATTATTTAGTACAAAAGTTTCACCACGGTAGGCTGGAGTGCTACTTGACTAATTTAAGCCGGCCAAAATAAGCAAAAAATAACTATTTAATTTAGTTAACAAGAAACTTATCGACTTTCCGTTTTTAATATATAGCTTGATAGCACTGATTACCATAAGTTCGTGGGGGTATTCCCGTGCACTGCCGCATTTGTAAAGCCAAATTGCAGGGATCTGTACAAGTTACTTCTAACTTTATACGCCATTTGCGCATGAAACATCCACGACAGTTCATAGAGTATGATGAATATAAAGCTTCGAGACCGAGAAAAACACAACATCGCGAAAGCCATTTTGAAAAATTAACCGTAAAACTGATAGCAGATAACATGCTTCCAATTTCGATTGTGGAGAATAAAACCTTCAGACAATTTGTTTCCTTTTTGAACCCTAAAGCAAAATTAATAAGTAGACCAACGGCTGTAAGAAGAATTGACGAGTATTTCGACGCAATGATGGAAAAAATAAAAAGTGGACTGCAAAACCACTCGTATTTTTGTACCACTGCCGATGTGTGGTCCACCAAACATCGTAGCTTTTTTGGATACACATGCCATTGGATAACCAATTCCTTCGAAAGAAAGTCAGTAGCACTGGCATGCCACCGCTTTAAAGGTGCGCACTCGTATGACAAAATTAATGATATTATAATAAATATTCATGCTAAATTTGGATTGAACTCAAGTAACGTCAGAGCCACGGTGACTGATAACGGGTCCAATTTTGTGAAAGCCTTTAAGGAATTCGGCGTCCAAAACTCTTCGGATGAAGAAATGCTTGAACCTAGCGATTTTTTGAGTTATGTCAACGAAAACTGTCTTCCAAGACATATTAAGTGCGCTACACATACCATTAATTTAATAGCATCAAACGATTTTATTAATATTTTGAAGAAACGTCCTTTGGCTTATGAGAAGCATAGTGTTGTAGGTATTAAATCTACTATGCGTCAATACTTTCCACATATATGTACATACCCTTGTGGTAAGCTGATTAAGTTAAGTGACATTTTGTATATGTACATATGTAATGTACTGTTCAGACAAAAGTTGGATCCGCGCTATAAGGCCACAGGAAATAACACCATATACAGTGAAAGCTCCCATAAGCGGACACCGATGGTCAGCTACTTTTTGTGCGCCTATGAGAGATGTTCGCTTATAGGAATTTCGTAAAAAATAAAATTTTAATTTAAATTTAAAAAATTTAAATTGCGGGTTTCCAAATTAAAATAATTGAGGGATTCACAACGGTGTCGTAAGTGTCGTATTGTTGTATGTCGTAAACTTTAAAAGCTTAAATAAATGTTTAGAGAACTTGAAACCACAACCAACTATTTTTTAACACCGCGAAAATTCATAATATGACTTTGATGGTACTTTGCGAACCCCGTAAATATTTATTCTTCAGAAAGAGGAAATAAATTCAAATTTATTTCGTTTTCTTTCCTACCGACAAATCTCATTGCCCGCTTCACTAAGCAGCAAGAAGGGGGCAACGAAAAGGCAACACTTTTTCTTAAAAAAAATCGTTGAATATGGACTATGTTCTTTTGTACATATATGTACATACATGTGTGCATACGCAAGAGTCAACATCTGATATTTACAATAATGTTTAGAGGAAAAATAAGGATATTATAAATTTTTGGATAAAGATCAGAATGTTAAATATAATAAATATCCTTTTTATATGTAGGTAATTTCGAAGTGCTCTAGTTTATGGAGCAAAGTCAATAGACCAAAATGCTCCGAACAAATTATATCAATTCTTGGAGCTCAACTTAAATACCCAGTCGTGACTAGATGGAATTCGTTATACGACTCAATAAGATCTCTATGCTCGCATAAGCAAAAAATTAATGAATTATGTGAAATATACCAAATTAATAAATTTTATGAAAATGATTTCGATTATATGGAAGAGTACATGCAAATATTAAAACCACTAGCCGAAGCTGTTGATTTTTTGCAAGGGGATAAAGAAATGGTATATGGTTACCTTTTACCGACACTAGCAACTATATCTACAAAATACAACAACCTAATAAGGGCCGGAAAATTGGTATATTTTTGGCAAATAACATCCCCTTTGCTAGAAGCGGTAAAAGAACGGTTTAAAAATTTTTATGAGCTTAAGGAAGAAGTAACCGATGCCATAACTGCATCTGCTTTATGCCCAGATGTGAAGCTGCAATGGGTTTATGCTCTGGATCCTATATACGGCGACGCAAAAGTTGCAGAATTAAGTGAAAAAGTTAGAAAAATTATTTCGGCGTAGTGCGCAAACGATACCATTGATCCAACTATATTTGCAAGCGACCGGCACCAATTTTTCGACTTTGGACGCAGAAGTAATCACGCTTTCAGTTTTAATTGAATAATATGTAGTACACCTATTAATTTAAAATAATACAAATATTTCTCCCTTGGTCAAAAACCTTAGGTGAAGTCGCCACATATGAAAACTTTACAATCAACAAAGCGGGAAAGGAGTACTGTAACTACATTGCAGACCCAAGCACTAACAAGGAAATGCTTTACAAGTACCCAGCATTACAAAAGTGCTACTTAAAATTTAATACCCCTTTGCCTTCATCAGCCGCGGTTGAAAGACTGTTTTCTGCGGCAACAATTTTGAACTCACCACGACGTGGATCGCTTTCGGATGACAACTTCGAAAAGCTATTGTTAATGAAAGTCAATTCTTTTTAAAATTGTTTTTCTTTAGTACTAAGTATTTACTAATTGCTTGTTGTAATCTATGTATTGCAAAAAACTCTGTGTACGTAAACCTTATTTGCTCAGTATACAGTTGTTCACAAAATAATAGCAGCATTGCTTTTTCGCGATATAATTCCGTTGTGCTAAGAAAATAAGTTTTTGCATAACTTTATAAAAATATATTTTATCAAGCAACGCACAAAAATTAAATTTCCGTATTGTATGCAAAACTGAGGAAAGTTCAAAAAATTTTCATAACAATTTTTAGCTTTTTAACCTGGTTTTTTAGAAAAATTTTGAGTATACGGTTTTGTGGCCCCTTAAATTTTAGTATAATAAAGTGCGCGTTTAAAGAAGCTAAGAAATACCGTTGATTTTTCGCCATTTTTGTTTTGCTGGCCTCTCATGCACATTTTTTTCTACATAAAATCTAATTCGAACGTACGTTGTATGGCAGACAAAAAACTCCAAAAATCAACGGTAATTCTTCAAACCTGCATTTTATTATACTAGAATTTAATGGGGTACAAAACTGTATACTCACAAGTTTTTCAAAAAAACCGGGCTAAAAAGTTGAACGATTTCGATAAACATTTTGTGGATTTTCCTGAGTTTTGTCATAAAGTGCGGAACCCTAATTTTTGTGAAAAAGCTCTGCGTGCATAAATTTTATTTTCCTACCGTATGATAGAATTCGTTTGTTTATGAAAAAATATGTGCAGAAAATTTTTTGATTGACTTTATACACACATTTTAAATTTGAGGAAGTATTTTTCGTGTTATTGATATTTTTGCGAATAATTTTGTTAAACCAGTTCATAATACAACAAAACCCATACATTTACAAAGTTATTAAAATATTAATAGCTGGCGAAACATTTTCTAAAATGTAATACATACATAGATCTACATGTTTTACTAATGAATTGAATTTAACGAATTCTTTATATT